CTTTCCTGTGTGACTTTATATTACACGTCTTCTACCCAAATCCCTGGGGGGGGCAGTTCAGAAGATGGTGTTAAGACTCCTGGCAGCAACCATTCTTTAGTGCATCACAGTTTCTCTGGTTATTCTAATGCCTTTTGAGCATTTTGGGGGAACCAAAAGATTCGTTAAACTGGTAGTTACTGTTACACCCTTTTGAGGAAAAAAATGATGCAAGACTTTCATTATTCAGCAACTGTAATGATAAAAGAAAGGGGTTATACTTTAGTCTAAAGAACAAAATACAACAGGAAGATCTTTGTTTGCTTTTTCTTCCTCTCTCACTTGCTGGTGTAGCTCTGAGCCACAAAGAGTAGGAGCTGGTGCTAAGCCATATGAGAGCTGACTAAGATCCACCTCTGGGTAGGTCATAAGGTTGTGGTTCATGTTCTGAGACAGAATCTATTCACATTAAGGTGGCAAAAATAACCTGCAGCAGAATTGAGTTGGCTGCATCTCTGGTTTTTGGATGGCTGACCAAGAGATCAGTCATTAAAATGCTGAAGAGCCAGCCTGGCCTTTCCAACCCAATTTTCAGGGTAGTTATTTAGAAATAAGACATTACTTACAAACTCATCCAGAAATCCTGCTCCCAGAACAATGTTAGTGTAACAAGCCAATTCAAACAGCCTGAAACTGCCCATGTAGATGGGCTGAGAGATACCCACAGGGTCTCACAGCGAGCTTAGCATGGTAAGTGGCAGCTACCTTGCTTGAACACAGTTGTGCTTTACAGTGGTGCCAAAACTGCCCCTCCAGGTACCCTGCACATCTGGATACACCAGGGAAAATGGCCCAATCCCAAATGAGGCCCAGACTCTGCAAAGCTGGAACAGCATAATGCAGTTATTTACAGTGTAGGGCTACACAAACACTGTTCAGTTCCCGATTCTGTTCCCCTCCCACAATCTTCTGCAACATCTAACCATGCAAACCGTGAAACTCGAGGCCAAAGAGCTTAAGCTCTGAAGTGAAGTAAGATTTACTGGTGTCTGTTAGAACTCCCCTGCCTGTATCAGTAAATACAAATCATAACAGGAAGCAGATCTGACTAAAACAACATAACAGTGCTTGAAGATGGTCATATGGGAAAACAGGAGTTCTAACAGGCACCAGTAAATCTTACTTCAGAGCTTAAGCTGTTACCACACTCAGGGCTGGCAGAAGGAAGTGTGCTTCTGTGCCAAAGTATAGACTGCAACAAGAACCAGTTTGCCCTAACACCCTGAAATAGGCCCTGGTACCACCGAAGTACAGGAGTGTATTCCATGCCTTTGCCTTCACTACCAGGGCATCAGTTCTCAACATGCAGGATAGATATGGATAAATGTTGTTCCATACTGCCAGCTGTATGTATCTTTGGGAAGGAAATTATTAAGCCAGACCCCCTAAACCCAAATCACCCCAGTCCTGTCTGAATTGTTGACACCTCATTTATTACTAGGTGATATCTCCTCTTCCTCCTCAGGAATGTTCTGCGCAAGCTCCTGACCCAGCCCCAGCAACTGAAGGGTGATGTCCTCTCCCTGGAGGAGATTTTAGCTGAGGGAGTGGAGAGTGACACCTCCAGCCAGGGCAGCTCCAGCGAGGGGCAGGTCAGGCTGTGTAAAACAAGAATGAAGGCTCTGCAGGAGGCCATGTATTACAGCGCTGAGCACGGCTACGTCGACATCACCATGGAGCTCAGGGCACTGGGTAAGGTGTTTGTTTTAAGCATTGTGCACATTTAGGGTGCAAAAAGATTTCACTTGGACAAGAATGTGTAACCCCAACTACAAAACTACCCCAAGCTTATGGGAACCTGCTGTCCAGTTAAGTGTTTAAGGCTCCTCAAATTCCAGCTGATCTAGGACATCCTTTACTTTTGGCTGGATCCTCTGTTCCCAAGTTTCAAAAGCAAGGGGCATGTCTCTGTCAGATGCACTGACACCTAAAATTCAGTGTTAAAAGAGGCTGATCTCAAAACCAGAGGTAACACGACAGATTAAACGCTTGAATGTGAAAGCGCAGATCTGATCTAAAGGTAGGAAAGAGAAGCTTTGAAGCTTGTGTGTCCAGACTGTTACAGGTAACCAGGAGGAAAGACCTCACATCGTATGAAGACAGGCTGAGAAAGTTGGGGCTGTTCAGCCTGGAAAAGAGAAGGCTGCGTGGAGACCTTATAGCAGCTTTCCAGTATCTGAAAGGGGCCTACAAGGATGCTGGGGAGGGACTCTTCATTAGGGACTCTAGTGGTCGGACAAGGGGTGATGGGTTTAAACTTAAACAGGGGAAGTTTAGGTTAGATATAAGGAAGAAGTTCTTCACAGTGAGGGTGCTGAGGCACTGGAATAGGTTGCCCAAGGAAGTTGTGAATGCTCCAACCCTGGAGGTGTTCAAGGCCAGGCTGGACAGAGCCTTGGGCGACATAGTTTAGTGTGTGGTGTCCCTGCTCATGGCAGGGGGTTGGAACTGGGTGATCTTAAGGTCCTTTCCAACCCTAACTATTCTATGATTCTATGTTTGTGGAGAGTTAGGAATTCTTACAAGTTCAGTTCAAATATGTTTTGTAGTTGTGACTAATCATGAAGCTAAATACACAATAGGGAGCCTCTGGTCCTGGTACCATCCTTTGCTGTCGTACATAAGCCACTGTCAGTGACTCAGTTCAGTCATCTTTCATAATGTGAGACAAAAATATCTGCTGTTAGGATGCAGGTACAGATCTACTTCAGTGCCACTAAGTGGTAGTAACAGCAGGACAATCTACTCACAGGTACCTCAGCAAATCATCATCTTTCACTGTCCTTTTTCTGTGGCTACAGGAGTCCCATGGAAACTCCACGTGTGGATCGAGTCCCTGCGGACAACCTTCTACCAGTCCCGTTACTCAGTCGTACAGACCCTCCTCCGGGAATTTGTCACAATCAAAGAAGAGGACTACAATGAAGAGCTGGTTAATGAAGGGCTGCAGCTCATGTTTGATATCCTCAAAACCAGCAAGGTAATTACTAGTTTCATAACAGTATCAAAATCAAGTGTTTGGGTTTTGCTATTGTACACAGCTGTGCACAAGCACAAGCACAAATGAATGCCCATGCATTCCCTAATGACTCGGGGTATGAGAATGGCCCTTACAGCATTTACCTAAATTCATATGCAGCCATCACAGTAAAGACACTAATTTCAACAGAAGTAAAAGCTATCCAGTTCAGCAACTGGCTGTGGAAACCCTGTGAATGTAACAGGAAGAGTGAGCAGTACAGCACTGGGCAATTCAGGTTCTCCAAGCAGTATCTTCTTAGGAGTTTTCTGAACAATGCTTTTGTTAAGCAACATTTTCCCTCTGCTTTTTTCCTTTATTTAAAGGTTGCCTATGACTGTTTTTTCCTTGCTTTTCATACACGCCTAGAACAGATCTGATCCATAGTTTAGCAGTGCCATTTTGCATGTAAGTTCACACAGTCTCTCCCATGTTTTCCTCCAAGAGGCTGCTGCCCTTTGTGTTAGGGGATTGCCAGCTCTCTGACTTTAGAAGGGATACAGCTGAAATCACAGTCAGGGGGCTGAGGAGTACATACAGGTCCTGATACCTCCATGACTGCTCACTACAATGTACACTGTAACTGTCCTTTAAATGAAAAGCAAGATATAACTGGCCAACTGCTCTGTTGGGAGGTTCTTCTTACAGAGTGCAGTTGCTATGAGCCTCAAATGAGCTGTTACAGCACGTCTGAAACCCGCTCGATACAAAGTGCCGATTGATGATTCCTGTTCCATCCTCCTTACAGAATGATTCCATCAATCAGCAGCTTGCATCCATCTTCACCCACTGCTATGGCAGCAGTCCAATACCCAGCATTCCCGAGATCCGGAAGACACTGCCAGCTCGGCTGGGTAAGAGGCTCACCTCAACAGTCAACCTCTTGTGATTTTTGGCTTTTACCATCCACAGTTTCAAAGAACATTCACCCTCTTTATTTTTGCTCCTTACCCCAACAGATCCTCACTTCCTAAACAATAAGGAAATGTCTGATGTAACTTTTTTAGTAGAAGGAAAACTATTTTATGCACACAAAGTCCTGCTGGTTACTGCATCCAACAGGTGAGTCGCTTTCCACAGCTAAGTGTTTGTTAGAGGAAGGTTTGACCCTTTACTCTCTCATTTGTCTTTCCAGCTCTCATTCCTCATTGCAGCTGTGCAGACCATAACTCAGGTCTGCAGGACCAGCCACATCATCTTTACTACTTTAAGAATAGTAGGAGAGTAAAGATCAGTTTCTAAGCCACTCTTAATAGGTGTTAGAGATTCCCAGAGCTCTACTGACATAAACTAACCAGAAACTATCCCTAATAATCCTTGCAGGAGTTGGAGTGTAAATGTCCAGCCATTCACTGCCTTTTCATACCCCCTCAGAGTTTGCTAGCTACAGCTACACTCTATCAGCTTGCAGTGATCAGTTTCTGTGTTACTGGCATAGTAACAGTGGTTTGCAACTATTATAGGGTGGGACTGGATCAGACACATGCAATTTATAGGTTTAGTTGTCCCTGAACTTCTAAACTGTCATTAAATTGAAAGGTTTCAATTCTCAAATTACAAATAAGGAAGTAGGAGTTTAATTTTCCCCTTGCTTAGGCTGTTTGTCAATAGGTAACAAGTACGTGATGTGCTAATACAGAAATCTGTTAAAACCATTCTCAGGTTTAAGACACTCATGACCAACAAAACAGAACACGACAGCCACGGCAGCAAGACTGTCGAAATCAGTGATATGAAATACAACATTTTCAAGGTATGTCTCTTGCTTTTTCTTTATTCTTTTCATCTTCTCACATACTTGGAAGCTAAGACTAAGCCAGGGCTTAATATGAGAGTTAATTTACAAGTAGAGGGGGAGTGTACTTCAACACACCAGTATTTCAGGAGTATTCTGATCTTTGCCAAAACTCTTCATGTAGGACCAACCTTAAAACAGAAACCTCCAGCCTATGTTCTTATTCTCTTACTAGGCAGCTGACTCCTCCCTAAAGCAGGAGAAACTAGTCTGCTACTGAAAGCAGTTTTACACTTGTAAGACACCATTTCCATACTTTTTACAGCACCATTTTCAAGCTGTGCTAAGCAGAAAGTAAACTTACAGTGGGCTGCCAGGCTTCGGCTTAATTCAAATCAGATGATCAGAAATCAATGGTGTCCCTTTCAAGAAAGGCTCAGAACTAAGAACTGCACTTTAACATTTCCATAGCTAATGGACCTAAGGGAGGTTCATTCATGATGAACAGAAGATAGGTTACTGAACACACACCCAAGGCAAAAAACGTGTCAGTGACATGCGATAGTGAAGCTGTTCCAGTCTCCAACATCTGCATTTCAGGTTTGGAAGAAAGGTGCAGAACAGGTTCTGTTACTGTTTCACTACAGGGTTGAGTCTTTTCCTTTTTCTCTTTTTATAAGCAAAAAAAACTTGGTCAGCAGCATGGTCATCTCACGTAGAGGGAATGCAGTTGACCCTAAGAACATCCCTGTTCTCCTTGAAAGGGGTTATACAAGTTTTGTGCTGGAGAGGTGACATTCCCATTTTGCTGCTCAGGCCACGACAGAAAACAAGAAAATGTAACTGAGTGTGTTGAAACAATCCTCCTTAACAACGTTTTGACATCAAAACATCTCTAAAGATGAACTTTTGATTCACTGGAGAGAGCAACAGATCACAAAGAATTAGAACAGTGAAATACTTCAACAGAATTAAACGATTTGACAGTAAAAATCAGACAAGCTGATGGCATCCTAGAGCAATCTCACTTATGGTGCGTGGAGGATGCTGAACCACCAGAGATCTAAGTTCTGCTCAGGGCTCTGTTGGAAAGCAGCTTTGCTCCCTGTGATTCTGTTATACAAATAAGGCAATTATAAGAGTAGCAGCTTAGTTCTGTTCCCACCACTGTTAGAAATGGCACGCACAGCCCAGTCCCCACACCTGCTTACACAGCACCCAGGTCACTGGAATGACTTCTCTTTCCAACACCAAACCTAATCATTCCCTAGATAGGACAAGGACCAGTTTCACTGGGGGTGTGCTCATGTAGATCAAAGAGCAGAAGCTGCCTCTTGCTCTCCCTGCAAACAATTAGGCCTTTTCCTCTGGCCCTGATGGGGGGCTGGAAGCTGATTAGAAGCACAGCAGGGGAGGCAAGTGGCTGGGAGGTCCCCGGGACACACATGCTCATGGGGTGGCAGTTGCAGTGCTGCAGCTCCGCCTGGGACCTGCCTGCAAGGCTTAGCCAGCCCGGATCCAAGAAATGGTTTTACAAGGACATCCGTGTTGCCCAGAGACACGCTCTCACCCTTGGCCTCAAACCCTCACCAGGGCCCTTTTCAGAGCCTGAGGAAGAAAAGAGTGTTAGAAAGCACCAGATTTGCAACTCTAGAAAGAAAAGCCCAGCAGCGGAGGCGAGAGCCAGCACACCCCACGGCTCCTGCTTGCTCAGGAAGGGCAGCACAGCCACTCACAGCCCCTTGCGCCTTCAGTGATAACAGCTTCATCCTGGCCCTCTTCCCATTTCAGATGCTGATGCAGTATTTATACTATGGAGGAACAGAATCCATGGAAATTCCCACCACTGATATCTTAGAGGTGAGAGTTTTTCCTTGTAAGTCTTGCCAAGTGCACTGGGGCATAAACAGAGCTTGAAAGGCAAAATCCAGGAGCTAACAAACTGCGAGCTTCCAATCTAGGAGTGTACTTCACACTTTGAAATGAACTTAAAGTTTCAAAACACCATTGCTGGGAAATAACAACTATCAATTATGGTTTATTATGTCAGTCAGATGCTGGGGAGGGCACAGCAGCAGGGAGGGAAATTGCTACAGAGCTTCTGGTACCCTGAGTACAAATAGGCCCTTTTACAATGCTGCTCAGTCACAAGTAGTCTGATGAAATTAAAGCTTGAAGCTAAAGACTATACACAGCTATTTTTTTCTGAGAGGAAAGGGGGCTTTGAGCTGTTTAGAGCTCGTATGTCATGGTGACAGTGCAGCACAAATACACTTCCTGCAGGAGCAGCAAGCCTTTGCTAGGAGGGGAGATCTGCCGCTTTAGCTAGGCATGGAATGGCCTTTCTGCTCTTCCATGAGGACTTGGCCATTAAAACAGGGAGGAGGAGATCATTCAGAGAGGAAATCATCCAACCTGTCTGTTTGCCTCCCTAAGCCTTTCAAAGCTCATGATCTCAAATAGCTTCTCTCTTGTCCTGTAGCTGTTGTCGGCTGCCAGCCTTTTTCAACTGGACGGCCTCCAGAGACACTGTGAAATCCTCTGTGCCCAGACCATCAGCATGGAGAACTCTGTTAACATCTATAAATATGCAAAGGTACGTGTCCAGCTGTCTCACGCTGGAATCACACTGCAGCAGCAGGCAGGCTTTCTGTAGTCTTATTGCAGTAACTAAATACAACAGGCCCAGAGTGGGCACTGCTCTGCTGGTGACTCTGCCCCCACCGCAAGCGAGATGTGTCAAAGTCACCCTGCACAGCCCCACTGTGTTCCCTGTCTAAAGCAATCACACATGAAATAGATGCAGATCCCTGCAGAGCAGGGGAGACGTGTCTTAGCAGGCTGATACAGCAACAGCAGCAAAGCCCAAGGGATTCAAATCCTCCCCAGCAGCAGGGGTAATTGATCATCCTCCAGCAACCAAGAAAACCCTTTCCTAGCACTGACTGTTAAAATGTATTCTTTACAGCTGCAGAACCAGCACAAACTGTTGTGTGACACAGATATTTATCTCTAGAGCAAATAACCCATGTTATCAACAAAATCGGAGGGAAAATACTGTGCCATTCCTGGAAGTTTGCAGGGGCAGATCCCTTCAAAACAAGCACAAAGGGCTGATGATGATGTGCCTGGTTACTTTGTGTCCCCGGGATCCTTTTCAATTCCTGATGCTTGCACTGGGCCATAGACTCAGGCTGGTTTCTTTCAGGCCCTACAATTTAACAGTACGCAGTGGTAAACGGGGAAGGGAGCATTCCCTACTGGCCTTCAGTGCTTTTCCTTAAATTACTATTTACACACAAAGTTCCCAGAAACAGACAGGGGGAATGTGCACACATTTAATCCTGAAATCGAGTTTCATTGTGCTGCTATTATTGAGCTTCCCCCGCTGGTTCTGAAGCAGAGGGAGCCAGATCACAGCCACAAATCCACCCAACGTGGTTTAGAAGTGTAACATCCCTATTCCTCTACATTCAGCTCCCTTCTCCAGGAGTTCAGCTCCCATCCTGTGGACCGTGTTCCGACTGCCCTGAGCTGTGTGTGCCATCGGGCAGTGCAGTGCTTTGTGTTGCAGTGCAGGAACTCCCAGTTCTCACAGCTAAACAAGTACCTTGGCCACTTCATCACCAGCTGCTCTCTGCTCCTTTCAGAGGAAGACACTGGAGCGCAGGCCATCAGGGGAGGAATTAAAGCAGCTTCAATGCCTCCCTACACACACCTATGCCTGCAAAAAGCACCAAAGGAAATGATCAGCCATCACATGTTCTACCCTCAGAGTGTTTTTCCACTGCTCTTGCCATCCTTTTTCTGTCTTAGGAACTGTTAAAGGGAAAAGCACTAGAAATGAGCAGCTCAGGCACACCCTTTGGGTCTGTGCCATGCAGGAAAGACTTAACTCATCTTCCTCTCCTCTGCAGATTCACAATGCACCTGAACTCGCCTCATTTTGTGAAGGCTTCTTCCTCAAACACATGAGCTCCCTCCTGGAGCAGGACTCATTCAAGCAGCTCATCTACAGCAGGAACAGCAAAGTGCAAGGCCTGGACCCTCTGCGGGACTTGCAGACAGCCCTGGCTGCCCGCCTGCACTCCGTGTACGTCACCTCCAGGGTGTGAAGGGGCAGGAGCACGGCAGTGGCAGGAGCACTGGATCAGGGCGCACAGGGAGGTGTTGTCAGGCAGAGCTGGGGCTTTCCTCTTTGCCTTCTGGATCTCGCTGAAAGTCCCCTCCACAGACACCCCCAGGCACCGAGGGGCTGTGCCTCGTCCCGCTGACCAGGGGGGAGCTGGCTTCTCTGTGCTACTACTGTCACAGAAACACTGTCACAGCAACACTGTCACAGCACAAACAAGAACCGAGGCTGCAAGTGAAGAACCTGAAGATCAACGCTGCCATTTACACAAGCACAATGCAGGGCTGTAGAGCAGTGAGGCAACTGACCCAGACCCAACACCTAGTAGGTAGTCTTGTCTGTCTACACACTGTAATGGCCACCTAGTTCATACACATAGAAGTTTGACTTGTACAAAGGCTGCCTAGAAGGAGTTTTCTAACCCTGCAGACCACTGCCTGTTCAGCCAGGCATCCATCTGAACACAGAGGCTGGCACACACCAACTGTTTCACTGTAGTAATAAACACCAGCTTCTGTGCATGTCGAGAGACTCTGACATAACTTTTCCTCCAAACTGTTTGCACCTTGAGAGAGAGATTTTTAGATGTTCAAAGCTGAGTAGAAACTAACACTAACTCTGAAGTTACTCGCTGTTTAAATCCAGTATGAAGAACTGAGCTGGGACAGGGAGGGGACAACTGGGAGGGGGTATATTTCTGTTATCATGGTTTCACTGTGCTAGTTCCTTATATGGATCCATCTCAAGGAGGGAAGATAAGACACTCTCCCCCACCACTATCAGGGTTTGATGGCCCCAATCACTTCTACCTTAGAAACCTGTTTCTGAGCATTATCTGTGAGAGCTGACACCACAAAAGATGCTTTCTCTAAAAGACTCAGGTGTAGCAGGAGCTGGTGCTATGCTGAGAAGCTGCCCAATAGCATAAATAGCAATAAAAGTCTCCCTGGGACCCCCAGGAACATGTAGGTTGATAGTTTGTTCTCTCTCTGGAGTTATCTGGGATTAGAAGCCCCAACCTCCAGCCTCCGCTTCCGCAGCCGTTCCATTCCCACATGGAATCATGTTCTTTCCATAGATAGGCTACCTTGGGAGCACGGTGCACACCTGGCTGGTTCTTAGAGGTGGGCTCAGTTACATTTAGCAGCACTTCAACAAGATGCCTCAGCTCAGATTCCCAAGATTCCCAACTGCCCTTTGTTCCCAGCAGACAGACGTTTCTGGTCCAGGATTACTCATTCTAGGCCACATTCTAGCTGCCTTTGGAGAACTAGAAGGAGATGGTTCAATCTACAGTTCTGAGTTTGAAGCTATGTTTTTGTGTGTGTCCTAAGTAATCCCCACCACAGGAGGCAGTTGTGTAAAAACACACCTTGCTCTTACCGATAGCTTTAAGGAAAGACCTTCAGATATTCCCACTGATCTTTCTTAGCACCCACCAAAAGCATTTGCTCCTCATTTGGTTTAGGTGGGCGAGGAGAAGAGGAAGCCAAGTGTTCAGTGGAGAACTACTGCTATTTAAAATCCAGCTCTTAATAACTGAACACACTGGAAGGAGGCAGCTCAGCTGGGCCCAAGCTCCAAAGCACAGCACAGATGTGGTTAGGTAGATGAAGGGAAGGAGAACAACCAACAGCATGTCCCAACACATCCATCAAAACCTGACATACCCTCGATTCCTCCAGGATTTACACGAGAGCAAACTGCATGCAAGGATAAAGGCTGTTAGTCTAGGCTCAGTTAAACCAACACATGAGTTGGTCAGGGCATGCTCCAGTTTGTGCTTTAGGTGCACATCCACTCCTGAAGATCACCAGCTTCAATAACCCTATTTATTATCAGGAAGCCATAGAGGGGTTTCAAAACCAGCACTGCAAGCACCACAAAAGGCTTTATCTTGGAAAATATTTTCAAGTAGCTGCTCCAGCAATCTCTGTACAAAGCTGTAGGTCCTCTTTTGTTGCTGTAATATTACGATGCTTTGTTAATTGTACATTAATGTTGTCATTTATGTAAATGTACCAGGATTTTATTAACAATGTAATTTTAAAATACACAGCTGCTGTCATTTATTCTGCTCGTCTCAAAAGGAGAAAAGAACAACGCATTTAAAGCCACTTCTGTGGAAAAGGCTGCTGCAGTTCTAGCATCTTAAATTCATTTTGGTATATATATGCCTAATCCTATGCCTTAAAATGAGGGATAAAGAGGAATTAATTTCCTCTTCCTGGGCTCAACCATTTTCTCAAGTTTATAAGTTTGTAGTAAGTTTAACTTGCATTTTCCCTGGCTGAAATTTACCTGTTCTCCATCAAAAAGCAGCAGATGGCTGTGTGGTGACCTCAGCACCTCCCAGTGTCTGAAGGGGGCTACAAGGATGCTGGAGAGGGACCTTCATCAGCGACTGCAGTGATAGGACAAGTGGTGATGGGTTTAAACTGAAACAGGGGAAGTTCAGGTTAGATCTAAGGAAGAAGTTCTTTACTGTGAGGGTGCTGAGGCACTGGAACAGGTTGCCCAAAGAAGTGGTAAATGCCCCATCCCTGGCAGTGTTCAAGGCCAGGTTGGACAGAGCCTGGGGTGACATGGTCTAGTGTGAGGTGTCCCTGCCCATGGCAGGGAGTGGGAACTAAATGATCTTAAGGTCCTTTCCAACCCAAACCATTCTGTGATTCTCTGGTAGTGTTGAAATCATAATTCTAAGATTCTTCTCTGCAGCAGAAGAGACAGGGAAGGGTTAAAGCAACGATTAACCCAGAGCTGTTTGAGCAGTGGAAGTTAAACACCTTCCACTCCCTCCCCAATAAAATGGGTAAAAGCAGGTCCCACTTTCTTCCAAGTCACCTCAGACCCCCAAAGCAGGACTCCCATCAGAGCAAAGAGCATTGAAGAACATCCCAACAGCCAGAGTCGGGCACGCAGCAGTGCAGGCAGCAGGGGAAGTTTATTTATCTATGAGGTAAGTAGTAGAAAGGTTTAACAGCAAGAATGTGACCCAGGACTAGAATGTGACCCAGAACTATCTTTTCTTCCCCTAAATTTGCCCCCTAAACCTTGTACACACCCCCACCGAGCTGGGGGAATGCTGAGCTGTAACTTGGAAATTGGAGCTACCCTGACAGGGCTTAAACACTTTCTGGGATGCTAAGCACATTTCAGAGGAAACCACTAATACAGCCAGAACCTGTGCTGAGCCGCTGGAATCTCTTCATAATTGTTTCTTTCCTTGAATATCCCACCACACATCAAACAAAGGGAACCTCAGCCTCTCTGGTGTAGCACGACTCAAAAGACAGTTCTATAACAAATCACCATCACAAGCATCTCCCAGCATTTGATTTACACCAGCCACAAGAAGCCTGCTGGGACTGACACGAGGTGTGGATTCTCCCTCCCGCACTGTGCCACTGCCCCAGCAGGCCTGGAAACCCACCAGTATGAACACTGAGAAGCATGGAATACAAACACCTACAATTCCCTCTGGAGCACATTTACTCCAACAAGGAGATGAAATTCAAGTTCCCCCATGAAGTTAGTTGCATATTGCCTGCAGAAGAGAAGGCTCTGGAGAGACCTTATAAGTCTTCCAATAACTAAAGGGGCTACAAGACATCTGGCGCGGAACTTTTTACAAGGACATGTAGGGACAGGACAAGGGGGAATGGCTTTAACCTGCCAAAGGGTGAGACTGAGATTAGATTTTAGGAAGATCTAATCTCACAGGAAGAGCCCTGTGAGGGTGCTGAGGCGCTGGCACAGGGTGCCCAGAGAAGCTGTGGCTGCCCCATCCCTGGCAGTGTTCAAGGCCAGGTTGGACACAGGGGCTTGGAGCAACCTGCTCTAGTGGAAGGTGTCCCTGCCCAGGGCAAGGGTTTGAGCTGGAGGAGCTTTAAGGTCCGTTCCAACCCAAAGCAGTCTGGGATTCTGTTTTATGCAAGTGCTGCCTAGAGCCCTAAACAGCAACGTAGCAGAGTTTGCCCAGCTTTGGGGAAGCACAAACCTTTGCTGGCTGTAATTACACATTTCAGGGAGCAGAAGGAAATACACAGAGCTCACACATCTGCCTGAACATGTTTGATGACTTTCAGCCTCAACTAAACCCCTTCTTTGCTCTCTAACAAGCCCCTGCACAGCAGGCAAGCATAGGCTGACGCAGCATCGCTACTGACTGGCCCTTTGCCCTCGCCAACTGCTGCCCAAGCCACCAGACATGGTGGCTTCCTGCACCTGCCACAGCCGAGACAGCCCGGGGGAAGAGGAGAGCAGCAGTCCCCTTGAGGAACAGGGCAGAAAGCTGCTGTCACCACGGTCAGTGGTGAAGGGGACTCAGCGCTAGATTTGCCCCTGCAAAGGGCAGGTTTTGAGTACAAGGGATCCATTCATCCCCAGCAAAGAAAACAGAGCATTGCACTCAGCTCTGTTTGCTTAAGGAAAAGAGGGAGGAAAAAAGGGGTTTGTGATATGATGACAAATCGGAGCACAGCAGGGAAGGCAGCTTGCTCCAGGGCTGGAGTTGTTTCCATGCTGTCCCTGTTCCTACTGTCCCTACCAGAGCATGAGCAGGCCAGCAGTGGCTCGACTGCACTGTCGAAGCTCGCTGCTTCATGTGCACACACACCAGGCAGGCAGTTTACTGGACTGAGCACAGGATTTCACCCAACACTCCTGTCTCCACGATTCACTCAAGCAGGAGATGGCAGTAACCTGTGTCCTTGCTCACCACCTCTGCCCATCCTCGGCCTTCATGCCCCTTCTAACACAAGCAGTCCTGATAAAACACATGCCAGGAGGTGTGTGTAGTTTTAGGGCCCTTACCAAGAGCCAGGCTCGTGATTCAGAGACTACATAGAGAAGTAGTAGTGACATACTCAAACAAAAATCCAGCTGTGGAAGCATTAAAACCTCCCAAGGGAATATCAAGATGGCCAAATGGAAAAGACATAACTTCCTCCTGCCCCTTCTGTGCCTTGCCCTTATCCAATA